TCCTTCCTTCCTTCCTTCCTTCCTTCCTTCCTTCCTTCCTTCCTTCCATCCATCCATCCATCCATCTCTCCTAGAGGTGACTCTCCTCCAGAATAGTGCTTTAGCAGAAAACTTTCATCTGACACATATTTAGCGTTGTTTAACTCTGTCAAGCACTTTCTGCTGAATCATACATTGGGCTGACTCCTGTTGTCCTACCTCAACTAAAAGCTCTTAGGATTTAGTTAATCATACTATCCTCTTTCCATGTACAGAAGTCTTGGCATATAACTAATTTAACAGTTATATTAACCATATACTCAGTCAGTTGCCACATTGAAAGCTACACTCCAGAGAACTCAAGATAATGAGTATTAACAGTGCTGTGAGCTAGATTATTCTAGTTAACTTTCCCAAGACAAGGTTTCTATACAGCGAGACTATGAAGTTAAAACATGGAAAATGCAGCAAAATATTGCAGTATTATGTCTTTTCAGCCAGTCATTTCCTGGATATGCCTTTTTTCCTTCTTCTTTATATTTATATTGGCTCTCGTGATCAATCCTTGCTGAATTGCTCTTTCCTCGCTCCATTTTTCTCCTAAATCATTAATGTAAAATCTTTAAACTTGTGCAAATACTTATTTCTTAATATGGATAATGCTTTTCTGGGCTATATAAGGATTAACATTTGGAATACTTGCTAAGGATGTAACTATTACTTCAAGCATTTTAGCTGCATTGGCAGCTAGATACTATTATATTCTTAATGCAGGCAGAATTAGTAACAATTATATTCTCAGTGCAGTAATTAATCACTGAAATACATAAAAGCACTTGAAAGAGCTGCCTCCTTCCCTTGATGGGTAGAGGAAGGACACAGAACTTAGGAAATGAGCACTGCTACCCACATTAACACTTATTTTTATTACTACAGTAACAGCAAAGACCATACTAGAATAAGGAAGTGAAATTGCTACAATTGCACTAACATAGCTACCAAGTACTGTATATACCAAGGAACATGAGAAACAGTATCTGTTTAATTCCAGAAATGAATTATACCTTGTCTGAATAACTTTCCCACAAAACTAAGCACTTAGTTACAGTATTTTACTAATTATGCCAGTTCTTGCACAAAATCATCATCTTTCATAAGAGATGGGACCTTTTAGCTAACAAAATACCTGTATTTTCTTACTTTGGATAATGCTTTACACTTATGAACATAAATATAAAAGCAGTAAGTGCCAAACCCCCATAGTTCAAAGGAACATACAACTGTGTTATGCAAGTACTGGGTTCAAATCAGCCTTGCACCACCTCTATTTATACAGGTAGTTCTCAACTTACAACCACAACTGAGCCCAAAATTTCTCTTAACAAGAAAAACATTCTGTTAAGTGCGTTTTATCCCATTTCATGGAAGTTGTTAAGTGAATCACTGCAGCTATTAACTGAATCTGGCTTCCCCATTGACTTTGTTTGTCAGGAAGTCATAAAAGATGATCACAGAATTCTGGGAGACAGCAACCATCATAAACATGAACCAATTGAAAACCCTCTGGGTTTAGAACACACGACCATGGGGATGCTGCAAAAGTTGTAACTACGAAAAATGGTAATGTCAGTTTTTCAGTACTGTTGTAACTTTGAATGGTCAGCAAATGAACTGTAATTCGAGGACTACTTGTATTGTTTCCTAAAGTGTCACTTCCAAAGCCTGCATTCACTGACACAAAAAATCTATAATAAGAAGAGAAAAATAATCTGGAAAGATCAAAGTAGCACAGACCCTTGAGAATGACCTTCAAGCATACTGTCACTCTAGATTTGTCATTAACGTTTATATGATCAATAGATATTAATTTCATGTTCTCCAGTGTTGGTCCTGTAGAGATATTGCATATACCACTGGGAATGCCCTGTTTTCTTTATCTGACAATAGTTTCTTATGTTTCATCAGAAACAGCTGCCAAAGGTCTCTTGAGCTTCAAAATAATGGGTCAGGTGGCACATAGAATTCACTCCTTTGCTTTCTGAACTGATTAATAAAATAAAATAAAATAAAATAAATCAATTTTCTGTAACTGCCCCTCTTGCCAAAGTAATGCATTTCTTTGGATAGATCAATTTTGGAATAAGCCATATTATTCCAAGAATCGTGAGTTAATATAAAGTATGATTCAATAAAAAAACACAAATTATTAATGATTACCAAAAAAACTTGCCTTTTAATTTGCATTAATAGTATTATTTTAAAAATTAAGAAGTCTCCTGTCTATTAAAAATGCATGTGGGTGGGTTTTCAATCCCAAACTAACCATAATTATGTCCAATAACAATGTTACATATTTATATAATACAAAGTTGAGAAAAGGCTATTTGACTACTGAAATACTACCTTTAGAGAGGAAATAGAACATTTATAAAAGTACTGCAATGTGTAATCTCATATCATAACAAGAGGGACAGATCACATTTGGCCTAATTATTACTTTGGGAAGAGATCAAGAAAAACAAGAGTGCAATACATAACATGAAATCACAACAGACTAAATTCTAAGCAATCTTCTAACTTGCTCTCTTAGTAAGTTCACTCGTATTATTTTTCTGCTATGTATATGTATGAGAACTCTGCAGGTCTTGATACAGCTAAGGTTAATCATTTAAACATACAATTGAAGCAATGACACAAGTGAATCATAACTTATTTAAGTGTCATTGTTTTAAATAAGGCTTAGCCATGACTAAGTTTAGTTACATGAACATGCAGTGTGAGTGTGTGTGTGTGTGTGTGTGTGTACACATAAACCTATACACATCTACTAAAGATAAAGAATTTGGATCTATAACACATCAAGTTCTCCTATACCTGTCATATGAAAGATATTATTTAGTTTTTACCATGCCCCTTTTTCTAATTCAAGTAAATTGGTTAAAATTGGTTAAGAAGGGATAAAATCTAAACCTCTAAAGAGAATAGAAATTCAGGTTATATTCCTTTGTTTTATCTACAGTACTGATACTAAGCTTCACAACTAACTGACGGCTATTCCTGGCATCTAAACCCAATGCAGCAATAATATTACAGAGGTATTACCAATCTGCTGAATAGACATTCTTAAAGTAAGACAATCCCTCAAGGGACAGGACTATTTTGAGCTACTGTACTGGATGTTCCTTTTTTTAAATTCTTACCTTACTGTGTTTTTGCTGGTATCTTGTCCTAGTATCCAAAATATGATAGGGACTTTCAGAGTCTTTGTTCAAATAATAAATAAGTCTTGAAGGCAATGTGATTTCTTTTTGGAATGCACTGCTGTAATTGTTATTTTTGCTACTACTATTGTTAATCTGTTGAAATGCAGTGTCCTCATTTGCCAGTATGGTTTCTGTTTTTTCCAAGGTTTCATTCCAATGGATAGCTAGGGAAAACAGATAGGTCTTCATTAAACACAGAGGAAATGAACACTTTATATAGGCTGCTTTAAATTCTGTTAATTTTCCTTTATGAGGCTAATATCATTCCAATTGCTCCAACATGCCTTATTAAAATATTTCCTAGTATTTAGGAAATACAATACAAAATATTACAGTATTGCAGAAGGAATTACAAAAAGTATTGGGTATTTAATACAATGTATTTTTACAGAATAATCTAAATGTTTAAAAAAATCATTTTTCAGAAGGGAAGCTCTTTTAATGAGATCCCAAATACCATGGCTCTTGTCAGTTTTCCTCAGAAATATTGATCAAACTCTGTGAATCTGTAAACTTCTCAAAAATGGAATTCATATGTCCATTGAAAATCAATCAATTCCCTTTACATAAGGGCCACTTCTCACATAAACCATAAGAATGCAAATTCTCAGTTATTATACAAAATTATATCAAGAAATTCAGTTAGATTTCTTTGAAAATAAACTGTTAAGTACTAGAGATCATGCAGAAGAAAATACACATTTCTTCATGCTTAAAAGTTGTCCTCTCAGGGAGTTCCTTTTCCCATAAGTATATTATGTATGAGTTCTCAACTTAATTCTAAATCTTTCCCTAAACAAAACCCCCACTTACTCTGCTTCAGATACTTCTTAAATAAGATTCACAAAAAATGAGCATTCTGACAACCTGCCAAGTACATTTTGCTGCATCAGCACCTTTTGAGATCACATCTTGCCCATCCTCATATGACTGAGTTTGCACCCCCACCCACCCACTCCCTCCCTCCCTCCCTCCCTACCAATAAAGAATCTTCAACATGAGAATAGGCAGGTTATTTTCCCTCTCCTACTTTTCCAAATGTAGGAAGGAAAAGAAGGAAGAAAAATTCAGTTGCAGTCACGACTAACAATTTGGCTGCAGATGATCAAACAAAATGCTATCCTCAGGATAGAAACCTGTCAATGAATCTATGTAGAAGCAGATATATGCACATACTTGTGAGTGATGAACGATCAGGAAAGCTTCTCACCACAGGGAGCAAAACATTGGGTGCTGTATGAGGTCTGTCACGAGCAGAAGAAACTAGCATGACAGAGGAAATGAGGCGCTCCAAAGGGGGAAAAAAATAACTAGATAACGGGATTTGCTATTGATCTGCATTGGCAATTTGGCATGTAACTCGAAAGGCAGCAAATAGCAGGGCGAAGGAGAAGAGGGCTGACTTCCCAAACATCAGACCCTGCGGAGTTAGAAGGGGAGATTCCAGCCCATTTTCACCCCGCACTCACCGGTGTCCGCAATGACCCCCGAGCTCTCTGGACGTCCCCAGCAAAGCAGCAGGAACGCCAAAAGGAAACGGCGGAAGAAGCCGAGCAGAGGCAGCCGCGTCAGGCAGGCTAAGAAGGGAGCGTTAGAGGATCGGCCGTGCCGGCAGCTGCCAGAAAAGGGCTGCCGCAGAGAACTTTTGCCAGGCGGCTTCATGGCTCATAGCTTTACGAGGGGAGTGGGGGCAGGGCAGGCGGTGGGGCAGGGAGTCTCCTGCCTTGTCGGAATTGCGAGGACCAGCGGGGGGAGGTGGGGAGCGGCGGCACTGCCCCCTCGCCCCTTGGAAGAAAGCGGCGGTCGAGCGGTCACAGCACTTCTTTCCTCACATTGCTGGAGGCGAAGGGAACACACGGCGCAGTGACTCCGCTTTCTGTTCTGCTGCTGCTGCCGCCTCCACCGCGAACCCTTCCTACCGCCTCCGCTCCATTATCTGCGGGCGCCTCTCTTGGGAAGAGCAGAATCAAACATCGGCGGCGCCTTCTTCCTCCTGCTGCTGCTGTTGCGGGCTGCGCTGACACTCGCTCGCGCTCTTCTCGCCCTCTCAGCCATTCACCTTTCAATGCCCCGCGCACTGCACAGGATGACGTCGAGACCCGGCCACACTCTGCCTCCCGCGCCAGCTGCAGCCCCGCCGTCACAGGGTGGGGGTGGGGGTGGGGGTGGGGCAGTTTAAAAGAGCGCGCGCATGCGGAGGGGGGGCAGATGCTTCCTCCGGCTCTTGAGAGGACCGGGGCGGGGCAGGGCGGGGGCGGCGTGAGACCTAAGAGGCAAGCGAGAATAGCGCGGAGGGAACGAGCAGGTGTCGTGATGCAGCATCTCAGGCTCGGGAAGGGGACGAGCGTGGCGGCCGTCGGACCTGCATGCGGCGTTCCGCCCGCTTCCTACTAGTTCAATTCTTGTCCCTACGTCCTCTCCCTTCGCGGTTTGCTGCAGTGGCAAAGCCAAAAGGGCGGGGAGGGCTAGAAGGGAGCTGCAATATTTTATCGTGTTGCTTTCGCCACATCTTAGGACCATCCGTTGTTTGGCTCCTGCCTCTCCAGCCATACACTGGGTCTTTCTGCCCAGCAGTTTCAGATAGACACCGCAAGCGTTGCTTAATGTCATTAGTGAATGAGAGGGCTGAACTGTAGAGGTAGCTGCTTACAAAAAATTATGGAGAGCATAGAAGGGAGAAATCATGACGGTGCAATCACCTGGGTCATAATTACTTCTGGTATAAAAGTATTTATGCGAGTTCCCTTGCTCCCTGATAACTTTGTCGTTCCTCTTTGGTCATTCAGGCATTCTTGAGACCCAATGAACATCATTTTACGAGGATTGTCTGTCAGCAACTGCTTCTCTCAGTTTTTACAAACTTATGCTGTCGTCTTCATTGAAAGGATATATCTGGTTACCTTGTTTTCTGACAGCCCTTTTGACAGTTTTTGATTTTTTCCAAGTGTCAGGGTTTTTTTCTCTCTCATTACTTTGTATTTACCTGTCACCTATTTAAGTTTTAGCTTCAGTATTAGTGCTTCCAGTGGTTTTATTTTATCTAGTTTTGAATGGTTTGTTCTTTTTGCAGTCCATTAAATTTATCCAGCACAACTCAAAACCATTTTTCCCTGATTTGGCTTTTTTTGGGGGGGGATGATCCAGATTTCACAGCAACAGAACCTGTTGGTCCATAAGACATTTCTGCACTTAAATGTTTTGTCTAGTTTCTTGTCTCCCAAGCTAGCTATTTCATGGCAACAGACACCCTCTCTGTCTATTCTTGTAGCCTAGGAAGATAAAGTTTGTTACTCCTGCAATTTCTCCATTGATGATACTCCATTCACATCATCAGCCTCAGTGGAGAGAAGGGATCAAAACAGGCATGATGGAAGCTGTAATCAGAGCCCTGGCCTTTTTGTGTGTCTGACGTTAAACAAATTTTAAAAAGAGGTGGGGTTTCAACCACCATCTTACTGTATTGGTCCTTTATGCAGACACTGCTAGTTAGCATTGCCCAGCTAACATCTTCATACTTTTATTGAGCAGGAATTCAGTTTCTAAGCTCTAATTAATCTTCAGCAAGAAACTCAAGTCTTCCTCACTTAGATTCCCTCTGGATAGCTAAAGTTTTTGATCATTCTCCTTGCAATTTTAATTCCAGTTTCTATTTCTCCCAGTATATTTTGCCAATAAATGTGACACAATACAATCTTCACACTGTCCTTTCCCAGTTTAGAATAGAATAGAATAACAGAGTTGGAAGGGACCTTGGAGATCTTTTAGTCCAACCCCCTCCCTAGGCAAGAAACCCTACACCACTTCAGACAAATGGTTATCCAACATCTTTTAAAAAACTTCCAGTGTTGGAGCATTCACAACTTCTAGAGGCAAGTTGTTCCACTGATTAATTGTTCTGTCAGGAAATTTCTCCTTAGTTCTAAATTGCTTCTCTCCTTGATTAGTTTCCACCCATTGCTTCTTGTCCCGCCCTCAGGTGCTTTGGAGAATAGGTTGACTCCCTCTTCTTTGTGGCAGCCTCTGAGATATTGGAACACTGCTATCATGTCTCCCCTAGTCCTTCTTTTCATTAGACTAGACATACCCAGTTCCTGCAACCGTCTTCATATGTTTTAGCCTCCAGGCCCCTAATCATCTTTGTTGCTCTTCTCTGTACTCTTTCCAGTCTCAACATCTTTTTTACATCATGGCGACCAAAACTGAATGCAGTATTCCAAGTGTGGCCTTACCAAGGCATTATAAAGTGGTATTAATACTCCATGTGATCTTGATTCTCTACCTCTAGCCTAGAACTGTGTTGGCTTTTTTGGCCGCTGCTGCACACTTCTGGCTTATATTTAAATGGTTGTCCTCTAGGACTCCGAGATCCCTCTCACAGTTACTACTATTGAGCAAGGTACCATATATACTGTACCTGTGCATCTGATTTTTCTTGCCTAACTGTAGAACCTTACATTTTTCACCATTGAATTTCATTTTGTTAGATAGCGCCCAATGTTCAAGTCTCTCAAGATCCTTCTGTATCTTAAGCCTATCTTCTGGAGTGTTGGCTATTCCTGCCAGCTTGGTGTCATCTGCAAGTTTGATTCAGCTTCCCCTTGGTCGTTGCTATGTTCAGACATAACATTTTTTGCAGGGTCCTCTCGGTAGAGTAAAATTTTGGAAGGAAAAAAAAATCTTCTCCAGGTTGACCACTGTTGCAGACCGTGCTTTATGTAAGGCCCAGATCTCTCCCCTCCAGACGATAAGAATTAACTTTTGAAAACTGAGTATTTCAAAAGGAATTCTTCATTGAAAAGGAAAAGATCCAGGTGATGTTCAAAGCAGGGTCTAATATGCCTCCAGGCATGCAGCTTAGATAAAGGGAGTTAGAACCCCTCCCCTTAGTCCAGTGTAGATTTCATCAATAAAAAGAAGCAACATGTTAATCCCTCTTCCCCATTTACTGGGAATGTAGTTGAGAAGAGCTTCCCATGAAGTTTCTTTTAGAGCTGGAATTTTTATGGCCCCTTCTCCAAGAGGTGACAAGTTTCCAGGCATCTGAGCTTCAGTCCCCAGTTGTATATCATGTGCAAGTTAATGTCAACTCATAAAATATTCCTATGCCTGTTTTAGTAGTTGCCATAAAAAGGGTGGGAGGAAGGAAATCTGGAAGAGCAGTTGAAAGCAAAAGTACATTCGAACACTTATATTGTAACTAAAATACCAGAGTTTTTGCCCACAAATATATTTAATTGGAGAACATGAATGATGACATACAGCCTGTGAATGTGCTCAATTGGAGAATCTGGTTATGAGACACCCAGGGGAGAGGGGGGAAACAGGGTCACAGGTGACTGTAAATTACATAAGCCAGAGTTGACTTCACACAGGGCAGTGCCAGTATGTCACCTCTAATGAATCCTTTGAAGTTTTTTGAAGTTTGGCTTGAGAATCATGATTTAATTAGAGCAATTGCTGGAATCCTGACAGTTATACAGATTCAAAACAAGAATTAAGATATTCAGGTTACATCAAAAAGGATTACTTGTATCAACCTTCCCCCCTTCTTCCACCGAAGAATGGCAGATGCATGGATCTGACAAGTAGGTTATGGTCTACTTTATTAAATGCCTTAACTAAAGTCTAAGTAAATTATATTGACAGCATTCCTCTAGTCAACTAATTTTGTCACTTTGTCATAGTCTGGCACCTATTTTTAACAATCTCACGTTGGCTTTTGGTTATTACCTTGTTTGCTTCTAGATATTTTCTGATTCGTTGCTTGATTATCTTTTCCACAATCTTCCCTGGTATTGAGGTCAGGCTGATAGGTCTGTAGTTTCCTGGATCTATTTTTTTTTCCTTTTTTGAAGATGGGAACTACATCAGCTCTTTTCCAGTCCTCTGGCAGTTCCCCAGTGTTCCAGGATCTTTGAAAGATATATTTATGTGGTTCTGAGATCTCGTCTGCCAGTTCCTTCAGAACCTTGGGGTGTAATCCATCAGGCCCTGGTGATTTGAACTCATCTAGAGTAGACAGGTGTTCACTTACCATTTTCTTCCCTATTTTAACTTGTGTTCCTATTCTGTTTTGTGTGTGTGTGTGTGTGTTGCTGTTTTTGATAGGTTGGACTGTTTTTTCCCCTTTGGGAAAAGTCAGATGCAAAAAATGAGTTAAGTAGTTCTGCTCCCTCCCTGTTGCTTGTTACCTTGCCACTTTCTCCCAGCAATGGACCAATTGTTTCCTTGACTTTTTTCTTGTTTTTAACATGTTGGAAGATTTTTTTTTGTTATTTTTTACTTTTGTCGCAAGCCTTTGTTCATTGTGAGCCTTTGCTTTCTTCACTTCATCTTTACAGGCTTGGGCTATTTGCTGATATTCCACCTTAGTTATTTGCCCCCTTTTCCACTTTTTATACTTGTCCTTTTTGTCTTCAATTTGTCAGAGAGTTCTTTATGCAGCCATGCTGGTTTCTTTTGAGAGCTGTTATTTTTCGTCTTCATTGGTATAATGCTAGACTGGGCTTTTATAATCTCACTTTTCAAAATTTCCCAAGGTTCTTGAGTTGTTTTCCCCTTGAGGATTCTCATCCATGGAATCCTTCCCAAACTCTCTCTAAGTTTATTGAAATTAGCTCTCTTAAAGTT